CGTTTAAGAAATTCAATTCACTCTGCTTTCATATCATTATTATTGTAGTTGTACTTAGGCTGCCAGATATTAGAGATCATCAACAAAAATATTTATTTATTTTGCATGCTTGATTTTAACAACAGACTGTTTATCTGCATTAGTTATAAAACCACGTTACATTTTCTGAAACCACATTATATCACCATAAGATCACTTTACACTGTCTAACACCAAGTACTACCATTAGGTAAGAACAGATGTAAGCACAAAGCAGAACTAGCAAAGTACACAAACGTCAGTGTTACCACCGCTGAGAGCTGCTCGGAAGACAGTGAGCGTAGCTACTCTAGTACTGTGTGTACTCAGATTACACAGAGGTCAATCAGGTGAACTAATCAAACTGTTATTTAATAAAACAATTATTTTGATAAAACAATTATTTAATAAAACAATTACAGATATTAAATCATTGAGTCACATATTATTATGTTTTATGATTTTTTGATATATTTGTTACATTTAAACCAAAGTTGAAAAGTTATTTCATTTGTACTAAATTTGACAATAAATCAGAAACCGGACATTATTCACGAAACACCCTGTATTTTGATAAATTGATTATTTATTTTTACGGCACAATCTACCAATGTCAATGATAGACAAATAAGTTGAGGTTTGATAAAATGAGGAGGTTTCAAGTGCCGAGGGTCACTGTTTATCGTTGAGTTGACTGACTTGCGCGATACTATTCTGTGACTAGTATTTGGTTTGGTAACGAATTTCTTAATGAAATTATATTTTGGTAAAGTGCTATTTAAACTCCGATGAAGTGATCAAACGTGAAACTGAATGGTTGCAGGTCGATAGTTAGAGAGACTACAGCCAACCAAGAGATTTCGAGACTACAAGATATTAACAACCAGTTATCAGCACAGCTAGATGCACTTGCTAAAGGTTTGTTGCAGAACGAAGAGATTTCTAAACTTTTACTGCAATAATTAACTGATTTAGATTAAGGGTTTTATCAGATTCTGGGTACACTAAATTTCTTGCATGAACTAAGAATGAATCGAAATTCGAAGAGATTAATTAAAAAGGATGATGTCCAAAATTGGCAAATTGTGATTAGTCTTCTTAAAAAACCATGTCCCAGGAGCTTAAAACTTTTTATAACGAGGGTATTTTTTTTTTTTTTTGATAAACGCAGGCAACGAAAACGGACTAAAACCCGACGCTTCACTCTACCTAGACAACACCCTAAGCCTGGAGGGAACCCGCTCTTTATCTGATCACGTGTCAGACCACGTGTTAGACCACGTGTTAGACCACGTGTCAGACCAGTGTTCCAGACCACGTGTCAGACCACGTGTCAGACCACGTGGGGGATCACGTGACCCCCACTAACTCACCTCTACCTAAAACTCCTCGTGCTGGGGACACAGTGTTAAATGGAGGAGATGTTTTGAAGGGTGGTAGTTCTGGTTCTGTCAGGTAAGAAAATTCATTTAGTGAATTTGAGTATTTGTAAGTCAGCCTTCTCTACCAGGACAAAGAAATAAAGACATTTTTGAAAATTAAAATTATTATTTATCACCTAATGTGGCAGAGGTAGATGTGGATAAGGTGGGGAGTGTAAAACAACCATTGTTTACCTCCCTAAAGTGAGCACTATGTTCGGCGGGTGAGGAGGTGATGAAACATTTGTTTACATTTTTCGGGTAAGCACCTGCTCGGCCGTGTTTGAAAGAGGTGATTACACATTTTGTATATTAGAGGCTTGTAACACTTGTAACGCTTTCTGTTACCCCCCTTTGAAGGCCCCGAATTGTTTTCGAAAAGAAAACTCAAACTTAACCGAGAATCCGACCTTCTTATTAACTCATTTTGATGACTGTTTCTGACCTAAAATTGCACGCAAATCGCTTTAGCTAGGTTTCAGAACCTATAAAACACTTCCTTATCCTCAAAATTGAGGGTTTAGTATTTTATACGAAGCAGCCAAGCAACATATGTTTTGATCCATCGGTTCTCTCATGACCTAGGCAGTTAAGCTGGAACCCGACAGCTTCTGAGGCAATCCGTCACCTTAGGACTGATCACAAACTTGGTACTAACCACAATTTTCTAGTATAATGTTCTTTGCTGATACGTTTATTGAGCTTTGCAAACTTGAGTGTGAAATCCCATGCAGAGTACGAAAAAACCACACTAGCAGGTAAGCAAACTCACCTTTTTGGTGACTTGTTTCCTCCACGAACCATTGTCTGCTCTCTGTAAATATGAATCGAGGATGTTCGTCTCCTTAACAAATCGGTACAGGTACTTTCACAATTTCCAGAGCACAGCATGATCAAACGAAATGTCAAATAGAGATAACACAATGAAGTAGTACGAACACAAATATCACAATCATACTAACAACTGAATTAACATTTATTCAGACGACGGGCAGCCCTGCTGTGCCTCCGTGATCCTCAACGAGCGAGCCTTTTAATATGAGGGGTTATGTCCGTGACACCGGTCCGTCCAATTACAAACAGGAAGAGTGATGCAGATCGTATCGTGTGGGTTTTTTAGAAAAACTTTTTATCCTTATCTTTATTTGACCTCTGTTCACTATTGTTATTCTCCTACCACATATCGGCCGCAAAGGTTCCGCGTGCAATATCTACACCGCGGGTAAACCCGCCATGATTACAGTTCATGAACTTGAATAGTGTGATTGGTTGTACTTATATTAACCGTGGCCCATTGCCCGTATCAGGGATACACTCAAACCTGTTCTGTGGGGCTGGGGGGGGGTTAAGATAAACAACCGATCTTGATATGTGTTGGTCGCTCTCCATACTGCATGCTGTGATGCTAACCGTTCAAATAAGTGAACGTAAGTCATTAACTTTGTTTAGTTATACATGTTTCGGTTTTAAGGTGTGTTCAATTGCTCGGAGTAATTAGTTATTAGTTAGAAAACATGTTGTACTTCTAATTTGAGGTAAGTCGGCGATATTGATACTGTAGGAGATTCCATATGATTTGAAACTGTGCTGTTAAGTTTTCACTCAACTGATAAGCAAGGAATAATGCTATATCCATGAGTGTTCTTTTGCTTTAACTTGATTGAAGTCACATGAGATAAGTTGACGACAATTATTTCGCTTTGAAGTCGTGGCATGTGAATTGGTGTTCTCTATCAGATGCTACAATTACGGCGGGTGCGAATTCTGATGTTCTAAAATTTATGTATTGTTATTTGCAGCTGTAGCCATTGAACGTTCTACAATCCACAGGTCCCAATTGACGCTCGTCCCAAACATTGAGTCGGGCGCCAAATGTTACAGCCATAGTACGAGTACGTTTTGGCGAACCAACAGTTGTGGCGAGATGTAGCCTTATCTGGCGACCTCTCATTCGTGTGTGCCCAACTTCATTGTCAATTGAACCTGTTTTTTAAGGGAGGTGGACAGTGATTTTTTTAAATGCCAGTCTGTACTTAAATATGCTAAAAAATTATGTTAATATTATGTCAGTGAGAGGGTTCGCTTGTTACGATAAGTCTACAATCCCGCCTCTCTCGCCCCCATACAGTTTGCATTGTAATGGCTGGGGTCACGGCCGCCCCCGCACCCCCCCCGTTACAATATAACGATCACGGATTACACAATTTTCTAGTCTGCATGACGTAATTCATGGCGTGTGTACTGAGGGTGCTTATAGGAGCACCTTAAATTTTCAGCTGTGGTAGAGAAAACAATGTGAACAAAGGGTCAAATACAGATCAGAAAAGCGTAGACAGATGATATAATATCCGTTTGCTGAACTCGTCCTTGTTTTGTACTTGGATCGGATTTCAGTGTCCGATTCTGTGTGACATCACACCTCTACATTACATAGTGTGTCGCTCGCATGAGATAACCGGAGCACATCCAGGAATGTGCTGTGTCCCAGTCTGTCAGATTGATATAAGTGTTAATGTCAGTTGTAGTATGATTGTGCTGAATGAGACCTACTTCATTTTGTTTATTGTTTCGTTTGATCGTTTGTATATGTCTGTGGCGTCTGAAGTTGTTGGGTGATATGCTGCCGTGTTCGATTTTGTTAAGGAGACGTATCTCCTGTTCGAGTTGTTACAGATCAGGAATGTATCGTGTAGAGACAGTCACCAAAAGTAGAGTTGCTTAACTGCTGTGTTGTTTTTGGCGTTACTCTGCATGGTCTCCTTCACTCTATGTTGCAAAGCTGCAATAAACCGTATCGCAAAGAAACGAGTGTTTATATACTGAAGATGGTCGTAGTACCAGTGTTGATCAGTTAAGGGATTGAGATTGCTCTGATCTGTCGGGTTCTGCTTAATGCCTTAGGGTCGCATTGAGTAGAACCGAATTGGAAGGACTCGAAAACATATGTTGCTTGTCGTGCTCGTGTATCAACTATAAAACATCAATTTTGAGGGATAAGGAAGTGTTTACGTAGGTCTTCTTGAACTGAGCTAAATCGATATTTTTGCGGCAATGTTTTAGGTCAGAAACAGTCTCAAAATGAGTAATAAGAGGTCGATTTCTCGCGTTAATTTTGAGGGTTTCGTTCAGAACATAATTCGGGGCCTTCAAAGGGGTAACCAGAAAGCGTTACAAGTGTTACAAGCCTTCTATAATACAAAATGTGTATCACCTCTTCAACCCGCCGAACATGTGCTTACCCTAAAAATGTAAACAAATGTGTTTCACCTCCTCAACCCGCCGAACATGTGCTCACTATTAAAGTAAACAAATGTGTTTCACCTCCCCACCAGTATCCACATCTATACAATCAATTAATTAATATAATATCCCAATAATTTGTAACACTAAGAGCTCTAGTAATCCACTACTTGGGTATTAGATATTTTAGCATAGTTCCTTAGGCTTAATCCCATTTCCTCAAACCCCTAATACGTTGAGTCACACGGTTTTTTGTATCCTAGTAGTAGTAGTACAGCACTGTTGTACCCCAATTTGTGCTCAACGTCCTACTCACTTCAGGAAACTCATTTCACGAGAAAAAGCACCCTCGCAACCTGACCTTGAGACAAGTTACACCCTGAAGACACCCCGTTCTCTACCTCGTAACCATCACGTGTTAGATCACGTGGGGAATGACGTGACCCCCACCAACTCACCTCGTAACCATGACTCCCCGAGAAGCTCACACCACTCTTCCAGAGTAGATATCAGGCGGAAGAGTAGTACGAGTCCTGTGACCTCGGAGAAGGCACCTGATAGTGGGTACACTAGTGTGAGAGTTAGCGGAGGGAAACATATTGCTCACACTGCTCTGGGTTAGTGAACTCTTAAATTTAATAATGGAATTGTTTAAGTGAATTTAAAGATTAAAGAATATTAAAAAGTCGATTGACTAAGTTTATTAAGTCTTATCTTGAGAGGCGACAGCAACAAGTAGTGGTTTAGTAGTAGGAGGGCAAATATCTCTACCGCTTCGGTCTGGTGTTATTGTTAGTAGATTCTTAGATTAAATAATGAAGATATATATATAATAGTTATATTTAATAAAGTATAAACGGCACTGAAGCCTGGCTAGAATTTCGGTAAAATTGGATGACTAAGAAGTCTTATTGATGCTACATAACAGTTCAAGCGTATGGATTACTAAAGCTACATGTGTGAGCTTAATCACCATTAACCGTCTACAATGTCAAGGCTTCATTTTCATTACAAACTCCGCGGTGTCTTTATTGACTACAAGGCATAACCTGAAATGTGATCCATGAAAAATCGCAGGTCAAATAAACCAAGAGTTGCTCCAAGAACTCGAGGAGGAAAATAAAGCTCTGCGATCTGAACTGAGATCCACCATAGCAAGCACCCAACAGCTTCTGAGTCTAGAAAATGAGATTCGGAGACTGAAATCAGAGAGCAGCAGGTATCAGGCTGAGGTTTTGAGACTGAAGGATGTGGATCTAAAGCTTAATCAGGTATGTTTAGTTTAGTGGACAATTGTTTTGTACAACCTCTGATTTTTCCACTGTTAATTGTATTTTACACTCTTTTTGTGGTTCAATGTAACTCAGGTTTCTAATCAGGTGGAACAGTTTTATCACGAGGAAAAGAAGAATTTCCGGTGCACAATCGAGGATACCCTCTTGACACTTGAAGACTTCAGAAAAGATGTAAATAATAAACATAATCCGTTGGAATTAAGGACATGTTAATTTATGACTTAAACTTACCTCTTAAGCGCTACTATCGATTCAGATTTATTCTATGTACAGGTAGCCCAAAAGTAACTTTCCACACGCAACCCTTAAATAACTCATGTAATTCGTGTCACAATTGCATACAAATTTTAGAGAATATAGATATAAGTCAAAATTAGATTTCTTGAATCGATTCAAATTTATTCTATATATATACTTTTATTTACACTGCATGTGTTTATACTTTATATCATCAAAATCACTAAACATTTTCACTGTCTCTGCAGAAAGAGAATCTAGAACGCGAACTGTTGGAATTAGAAGAATTACTGAAAGATGCAGAGCAGAAGAAAGGTTCTCTTCGGGAAGAGTTGGTGGAAAATAATACCCTTCTGAAAAACAATGTGGTGAGAAAACGTCGAAGTTTTTTCGACGTAATATTTGATAATTTTTTAAATAATTAGTTTAGTAAAATATTTAATATCTATTGGCCAATATTCTTGAATATTCGTCTGCACGACTATGGTAGAAACATTATTTGAACTTTGTTTAGTTTTATTGACAGTTTTATTTAAACAGGAAAAACTAAAGTTAGAGATTGAAACGAGACAGTCAGAAAATTCGATGCTTCAAACAAGAATATCTACTGTTGAAGAAAACTGCAGTTTCCTTGAAGGACAAGTTAGTTTAATTAGAACAGCTTTTCTTCACAATGTCTAATATGCCAGAGTTTTACTTCAAGTTGCCATTAAAAACCTGGTCTATCTGCACTTGGTATGAAACTATTATCGTGATTTTCACCATGTTTAAATTAATTTCATCTTTTTATGCCATTAGGTACAAGCTCTGGATCGAGACAACCACGAAAAAGCACAAATAATCACCGCTGCAGAACAACATGCAAAGGATATGGAAAGAGAATTAGGTAACATACTCTTTATGTTCTGTTCTTTGCACTTAAATCAATCCATAAAGCCGGCTTCAAGTCACAGCCTGTTATTTTCAAATATACAAACTCTGATTGAGCAATTGCTAAATTCGATATCTATATATTAATGGAACTTCTAACAGCTACATTGAGAAAAGAAAATGCAGCACTACACTCCGAGCAACACAAAATAGAGCCGTTAGAGCATGAGTTGGAAGAGCTTAAGTCTAATCTTGCTGCTTTAAAGGAAGAGAAACCAGCGCTTCAGTGCAAGGTATTTCTTGACAATTTTCCTAAACATGTGTATGCACTATAATGCATTGAAATGACATAATTCGGATATTAACAATAGATTTTTTAAAGCATTACATTTCCTTTCCCAGCATCATCAAAAGGAAAAGTTAGTTCATATGATATTAAACTCATAAAAAGTAAAACAAACTTTTTTAGTAAAACAAGACAATTGTTTGACAACTTTTCTTCTCCAGGTAGACAAAGCGGAAGAAGAGAACAGTCAGCTTCACTCACGTCTCTCTGAACTGGTAAAGTCTCACACGCTACTAGAGGAGAGTGTTCAGAACAAGGACAGAGTGGTGATCAGTATGCAACAGGAGCTGGATAGTCTCAAGAAAATATCTGCTCTGGATGCTACCCATGTAAGTATTAATTAGAAATATTTACAATTTACCATACGTGTCATGTCAGATCATGATCATGTATGTGATAATTTGTAAAACTAAATTTTACTTATTCTTTATAATTTGTTTGATTTAACTTCTGAATCGATCAATTTATTTTGAGATCCTAAAGTTAATATAACATACCCAAACAGGCAAAAGAAAAAGAGGGCGAAGCCATGAAAGAATGTGAAGATTTGAAACAAAAGAATTGTCAGCTGTCAGAAAAATTAGAAAAACTGAAAAGTGAAATGGAATACATTGAACAGGCGTTCTTTAGAGGTGATGAGAATACAAATTAAATTAAATTAAATCAAATCAATTTAGATTAAATCAAATGAAACAGCACATTAATAACCACATGATGTCAAAAATATATAGCCCCGATTTGTACATAGTTTAAAAGCGCATCGCACAACCATTTTCTTTAAATGACTCAGTTTTCTGTTGATCAGGTTGGTCAGACCATATTGATGAATACTCCAGCGAAGAATCAAAAAGTGTTACTTTCCAAGACCAGTCCAAATCACCATCATCTCAAGCCTTCCCCAAGGCAGAGCGGATCATACAGTCAATAAAACTAGACAGGTTAGAATATGCAAAATTATTGCTTTTATTAAGAGTCAGTCTCGATAAATGTTTGATATAAAAAGAACTCATAAAATCAATAGGTAATGTTGATAAAACCGCTCTTATCATAATGATATTTTTAACATCACTGTAATTTGTTAGGCAAAAGCTAAAGGCAAAGCTTGTGAGATCAGTGCAGGATTCAAAAACGTTACACGCCCAGCTTAATGACACCCAAGAAGCTTTGGAGAGGGAAAGTGCAGGTAAATTTATAGAGATGAAATTACATTGTTTATATTTACTGTTAATAAATCAATAGAACTTTGATGTGATCACCAGACCACTAGGTTATAATCACTAGCAGGAACCCGTCTAACCCTAAAGTGGTGTCAAGACTCAAGGGACTTAAATAATTATTACCTATTTAATTCGCGTTTTTGACACCACTTGGGGGCCCAAATTTTGGGCTCTAAAACTCCTATTTCTTGGCCAATTTTTTATTTTTTCATGCTGATTTGAAGGCCATTAAAGCATTTGACCCAGTCAAAAACGTTTCAGTTGTATATCTTTTACGGTTTTTGCGGAAAGTCGTGTTAAAGTTGATACCGTGGTGTCAGTAAAATGGCACAGATAAATAAATATATATATATCGTCTCGCTTTATATATAGTAAGATTTACAAAGTAAATGGCGAAAAGAAGATTGCGAAGCATGCGTACAGGTACCATCTTCAGTGACAATTATAGATATCGGTGAGTGACCATTGTTCATTGTTCAGGACTTGCTAAAAGAGTTAGGGAAGCTCTGACGAAGCTTGAGGAGAGTGAAGTCAAAAGTCACGTTCTGGAAAGAACTGCAAAGAACTTGTCCATTCAGGTAAAAATATAATTCGGGTATATTGCATTATGTTGAATTCAATTCATGCTTAATTCATTTTAAGTCATCATCCATGCACTTCAAGTTTATTTTTAACGATCTCATCTGAATATGCAACTTATTTACATTTCAATTTATTTTAAACAACAATTACCTATATTGCAGGTGGAGGAATTGAACGTGGTGAACAAAAGCTTGGAGCTAGAAAATTACCACCTTAAGAAACTTAATGAGACGTAGAAAAGCGGCCACAATCTGCTTAAAGCCCTCACAACTTACAAAATTTACAGTTACTTGATTAGATTTCTGGGATGACTAAATTTGCAAAAGATCAACAATCAAACGACGAAAAATGGTAAATTGAGATCAAAATACACACTGTACGAAAATGAAAAAAGCCAAGCCTTATTCGAAGTTGAAATTGATTTCTTGGATACATTTTTAATTAGCATGCTGAACTAAATACTTCAATATTAAATTAGCACTAAATAACAAGAAGAACGTTGCACTTTCAATTATAATTTTTGTTTTTAGTTTCTTGACATATCTGACATATCTGGTTCTTGTTAAGGTTTGGTGTATTGATAGTTTGTATCATGTTCTATGATTTTTTGAATACCCCAAATGCTTATTTCTATGCATTATTTTACTGCAAAACATATTGCTGTTTTGATTGTACTATCGATGATTAAGATTTAAGACCACCTAATATTTTATACAACATGATTAGTAATTAATTCTATCGACATTTTAAACGAATGACTTACTAATTTTAGCGTTTTATATACTATTAATAAATTTTCGGCCGGGTGGTGTAGTGGTAACACGATCGCCTCTCAAGCAGAAGGCCCGGGTTCAAGGGGACAAAATCATATGTGGATGAGAAAAGCGATGAAGGAATAACGACATTAAAGATCTAGCCGATATTGCTAAAAGGGAAACCCTCCAGGCAGCTTATTCTGCATTTCACCTAATGGGTTATCTTAAGATGGAAATAAGTATGTAGCGAACAACACTGGCTCAGTCAAACACCTTAAAAGACGAGATTCAAAAATTTACGGAATATTTAAACCAGCAATATTGGATAGATCTTTTTGACCGACCGAAACTAGCAGAAAACTTTTGCATTTACCAGTCAAAGAAGGAGTTCTCGGTTATATATGACCTAAGTTTGATGGTCTGACCTAGAGTACAAGTACTCATGCCAAGTAACATCAGATCTTACAGAAGCAATAAAACAAAACCCAAATTTTAAATACCTATAAGTCATAAGCATTTTCAACTGAATCATCCAGCAAAATGGACTGAAACGGGTTTCGTGTAACATAAAACTGTTGCACAAACAATGAATATTCAAGTATTTTTTGGGTTTATGGGAACTTTATATGGCGATTGCCAAATCAATTAAGGCATTCACTATTATCTCACCCCTTGGCTTCCCGATAGTTCTAACCATATGTTCACTAACCATATTATTATGTTTCTAACAAATATCTGAATGACAACCTTATTGTCTTCATCTTTTAATCGAGTATTCCACCTTTTTTCTGCGTTGACACTTCTTGCCTGAACATGTCACTTTGTGTCTAGAGCTCCTTGTCCTAAGGAATTTTGATTGACCAAGACAGTTAAGTTAAATACGTATTTCTGGAATCTAAAATCAAAATATATTCGCAGATATTTTTTTTAATAATCACCATCACAAGTAGGCAGTGTTAAGTAATTACCTTTATCAAGCTGTGAATGCTCATCTCCCTCTTAACACTCCTCAGCATCTTGGTAAACTCTTCCACACTGAAACGAACATTTGAACGAAAGCTTCTTACCCGAGGAGTTGTTTATGGCCTTTTACAATATTTGTGTGTTTCCTTCGAAAACACAGTGGTACTAGATGAATCATAATGGTATACACAGTTGCACAAGTTAAAATATTGGACTAAGATTGGATTAAAATTCAAAGTTAGATTTTGCTATAATGTCCTTCCAAAAAAGTTCCCCATCAGTTTGTAAATCTGTAAGTTAATTTAAATATTCAAATCTATGATCCAAACAACAAAATACCTTTATTTCGTAGGAGCCCAATGCGTTACTTTTAGAGGTGGATCACACTGTAACGAAGGTTCTTTACAAAACATCCGATAGAAATAACTCCTTGGCCTTGGCTGACCATTGGCAAAAACTAAACAAGAAATTAAAATTGTAAGGTAACAGCTAATGTAGTTTACATGGAAAGAGAACAACAATTTCAAGAAAAATTCTGAGCGAGTCTGAACCTTACATTAAGAGGGTGACAGACAAAGAGGGTGACAGACAATAAATGCAGCAAACAATCTAATTTATATAGCGTGAAGGTTGGCGCTCGATTCATAACGGGATTCAAATGTAAAATTAATGTGGAGCCGCGGCAAGAATTAAATGTGAAGTTTTTTTTAATATCATAAATATAAATTTTAGTTGTATTCATAAAGTCATTTGAATAATATTTTTAACAATGTTTCAGAAATAAAATCCAAGCTAAAACTAAACAATCATCATGTACTTAACAAATACAAACTGAATTTTAAAAACCAAACTTTACTTTTAACTTTTTTGAGCTCTGGCAGCCTGGCTTAATTTATTTTACTTGTTAAAAGTGCTATAATCTTATAATATTGTTTAAGAATTTAATTTTAAAATGAACCGCGTTTAACCAGGTATATATTATTTTAAAGTATCTATAAGTCAAAAAATAAAATTAAACAATTAATTAAAACCAATTTCATACTATTAACAAATACAATACAGTTTAATTCATTTTAAAATTTAACCTTATCTTTTAAATTTTTTGTTGTGGCTTATTATTTTATTTCAATAATCGCTCTTTAATTTTGACAACATCCGGTACTTTGTATTTTTCATTATTTTGTTCATCGTCCTTAAAAAACCAGTGGGGGTTTTATTTTGGAACTCAGCTGAAATTCTTTAGCAAGATTATAATATATAGCACTTTTAACATAGTCAAATAAAATAAGCCACGCTGCAGCTCAAAAATTAAAGTAAAGTTTGGTTTTTTAAAATTCAGCTGTATTTGTTAAGTACAGGATTGTTGTTTATTTGCTTGATTTATGTCTGTAACATTCGTGAAAAATATTTTCAAATGACTTATGAATACATATTAAAATTCATATTTATGAATTTTAACTTAACATTTAATTCTTGCGCGCGGCTCTCAATTAATTTTATATTTTGAATCAATTTATGAATCGAGCGCCAACCTTCACGCTATATAAATTAGATTGTTTGCTGCATTTATGTCTGGTACCCTTCTTTGTCTGTCACCCTCTTAATGTAAGGTTCAGACTCGCTCAGAATTTTTCTTGAAATTGTTGTTCTCTTGCCCGGATACGTGCATTCGCAGTTACCTTACAGTGTTACTTCTTTGTTTATGTTTTGGCAATGTCAGCCAGGCCAAGGATTATTTCCTATCGGATTTTTTGGTAATGGGACCTTCGGGTTACAGTGAGATCCACTCTGCTAAAGTAACGCATTGGCTTACTACATTAAAGGTTTTTTGTTGTTTGAATTCATAGATTTGACTATTTACATTTAACTTACAGCTTTACTGATGGGATCCTTTTTGGGGAAGTACATTAAAGCATAATCTAACTTTTGATTGTTAATCCAATCTAATCCACTATTCTTAACTTGTGCAACTGGTAATCCATTAAGGATTCATCTTGTAACCACTTTGTTTTCGTAGGGATATCACAAATATTGTTAAAAAGGGGCTTAAACTCACGTCCGCGGGTAAGAATGCTTTTCTTTTAATTTTCGTTTCAGGTGGGAAGTGTTTACAAAAGATGCTGAGCGAGTGTTTTAAGAGGGAGATGTGCATTCACAGCTTGATTAAGGTTTTACTGAAACAACGGGGCCTACATGTGAATATTTTAAAAAAATTTTATGCGAATATATTTTGATTTTAGATTCCAGGAATTTCGTATTTAACCTTTTAATGTCTTGGTCAATCAAAATTCCGTTAGGGACGAGGAGCTCTAGCACAAAAGTGCCAAGTGTCAGGCAAGAGTGTCATCAGCAGAAAAAGGTGGAATATTTTGATTAAAAAGATGAAGTCAATTAAGTTTGTTTCATTCAGATAATTATGTTAGAACATATTATTATGGTTAGAACATATGGTCTCTTTAGAAACCGTATGGGAAGCCAAGGGGGTATTATAGGGGAATGCCCTCTCCTTAATTTGATTTTTGGACACAATCTCCATGATAAAGTTCCCATAATACCCAAAAAAAATATTGAATTTCATGTGGCAACAGTTTCATGTTGACACAAACAGTTTCAGTCCATTTGCTGGATGCTTCAGTTGAAAATGCTCTACTGACTTATAGTTATTAAAACATTTGGGTTTTGTTTGTATATTGCTTCTGTAAAGATCTGACGTTACTTGGCCTGAGTACTTGTCTCTAGGTCAGACATCAACACTTAGGTCTATATCCGAGGACCTCCTTCTTTGACTGGAAATGCAAAGAGTTTTCTGCTAGTTTGTCGGTTCCAAAAGATCTATCCAATATGCTGGTTTTAAAGTATTCTTAAATTGAGTATTCTGTCTTTTAAGGTGTTGGAAAACTATTGCCAGGTGTTGTCGGATTACATATTTCCATCTTTAAGGATAACCCATAGTTGTATGCAGAATAAGCTGCCTGAGGTTCCATTTGTGACAATATCTGCTAGATCTGTCAATGTCGGTATTCCATTCATCGACTTTTCTCTCCAAAATGATTTTGTTCCCCCCTCCTCATGCTCAGTTCCAATGTATGAATTCCAAGATATCTTGTTGCCCAACCTCAGATACCTGTATATTTGGGAACATTTTTTCAGCTTTCTCTTTGCCAATGTGGTTTTAAACAGGAGCCAGTCCTTGGCTGCCTGGGATAATAGCCCAATCATTGGCCCAGTTCCATTGAGAGTTTTTGTCCACCATTAAAAAACATATCCAATTTTTAGAATCCTTTTAGAATGTTGAGTGTGAGCTGCCACCTATTTGCGCCTCTTCGTTGATTCTAGATTTACTAGCACTCTTACAATACAGTATTTCTTGCATGCGTGAAGAAGCTAAATGCTCACACTGTGGACATTTAAATTTTCAAAATGTCATATTAAGGGTGCAGGGGGGTCCTTAATGAATTTCTCTCGAAATTGATTTTATAATTGTTTCTGATAGAGGGAGATGATTTCTAACTAGTGGTTTTAGTCCCTTGGAAAATATTTTGTTCCCTTGCCGGAATTATCGCCGGCCAAAGGTCAGCGCTCATGTGAAATTGTATTGCACGAGGATTTTCAATCGCGACCCTGAAAATCGGTCTAAAAATCTATCTTTTTTTATGCTGTGCTCTGCGTAATGCCATCACTTGAATCAGTTTTTTAATCTTTTAACTTTTTACACATTTGTGGGCTATGCTTTAGGATCACTGACTATTTAAAAAAAATTGTTTGGTCAGGCCATGACCTTATAGTCAGCCAATTGGCCATTGCTTGAAAAAATTGATGTATTTTATCATTCATTATATAATACCAAAAAAAATCTATGTTCTCTACATTTTTTGAGCAATCACCTTGTAAACTTTCAGGGTATTGTTCTACGGACCATTTAGAAAATTCGGGGTCTTTCAGAATCTTAAGATAGGCCTTAGAAAAGTTTTTTTATTCTCGATTGTGAAAATCTTGGACCTGGGAAAATCGTTCAAAAAACGAGGTCCAA